GTTAGGAAGAGTTAATGAAATTCGACTTTCCACGCTACATGGCCGTTTATAGTGACGTTTAATGAAAGCTTTATTAAACCCTTGGTCAGTCTTTGACATTGATACTTTAATAGATATTGCCGATCCCAGACAATTATATTACATATTTGGTAGACAGGCTTTTGAATTTAAATGGTAATGTGTCGAGACCCATCAGCAGATTGTTGAGTCTGAGACAGATTGGTTGATAGAATGTAGTTGGGGTGAGGATGATGTTTGAGGGGATGGAGATGTTTCGGCACGTGGGTCCGACAGACGTACTGAAGATGTAGGAACCGGTTCTACGTGTATGTTTAAGCACTATACCTACCCGACTACCTGCCTACCCTGCATAGGGGGGAAGTAATATAGCCGCACTTCCATATAACTGACCGTTTTACTAGATAAGCTCATTACGTACACAATCGACTGCATATTTGGTTTCAAATATACAACTTCTGACGCATATCGAATTCTGACACGTATTCAGGGATGGCATACATTATCTGTGACATGCGCTGTTGTCTGGTAATGGTGTTTTTCTCGTTGTGCTCTTTTCACATTTAAAATCTGAATCACAGTGCAATGCGCACATAAAATCCCCAGATTCATTTCCTTCGCTTGCGTCAACTTCACTGACGTAATCAATATGAAAACAAAAAAAAAGCACCCCAAAACACCCAACAAAAAACAAAGAAAAAGAACCCCCAAAACCAACCAAACAAAAAACCCACAGTAGCATTTTCAGTTTGAACACGCCAACTTTAAGATATTAACGCAAATATACGAAAACGCCTAAAGATGAAAACATTTCAGTAGGACTGAACAAATTATCAGAACTTTTCCGTTTCAATCCAAATTAAAACTTATACGCAAGATTAGTGATGTACGTTTCTTAGATGAGAGAACAATTAAAAAACAATGCCGTGGCTGTCTTGTTTCGATTGTTTGACTGGATGTTTGTTCTGTGTCATCAATGACATATATGTTTGACCATATCATGTGCAGAATATAGGACTCCTGTAACGATCGCATTGATAGTGGCGACCTTGTTTGTTTAAACTGCTTATGCGAAGGTAATTGTTATCAATATCACATGTTTTCGTTTCAAGGTTTATATGGACTAAAGGTATTGAGTTCATCAATGGAACTATTTTGGTAATGATCGAAAAGGTCCTCACACTAATAGTCTTGTATTTGAATTGGGTGAATATTTCAGGTTTTTAACAAAAAGTAATCCAGTGTGCTGCCCATTTGTATTTTCCACAGCACAGTTGTTATATTGCAGTTTTCTGGTGACGTTAGTCAGTGACGGGAGCACAACCTAAACTGTTATCAAGAGTTACTTTGAGAATAACTCAATATTTCTATGCAATCGAAACATGAAAAACGTCAATCGTAAAGCCTTCACGTATATTCTTCATGTTAATTTAAATGAATTTTAATTTAATTGTTCAAGGTCTTACAGGAGATATTTACTATGGTCGGTTATCGTGTTTATATCGCCCATCCCATATCGTTCAATGCCATGTGTTTCCTGAAATATACAAGTTCTAGAGAATCTCAGCTGTGTAAACAGCTGATGCTATTGACCGGAGTGTAATTAGCTTGAAATGGTATATACAAGTATGGATTTCACTCATTAGGATGTTGTCAATTTTACCCATGAATCGATATTTCCTCTGCTGTGTACTCGCAAAGAATGGTGTCAATTTCATAGACAAACTGTTATGAACTGTCCCTTCCTTCCAAGTAATTGTCATGATGCTAACAACGACATATGCTCAATAACTAGTTAAATGACAATAAACATAACTGAATTTTTCAATTATCACTATAGTATATAAGCTAAGATATTCAGAAATATTTATCAAATATTGGGTTCAGCTAAATGTTTTTCTTTTAGCCTTGACGGTTCAACGTTTGTTGGTTTGGCGAAACTGTCTTGGAGTATACAACTTGATCTTACTTCATAAAAATTCATAAGCTGGATATACATCTTATCCTTTGTGTAAACAATGTACCCGACCCCAGCGGATTAAGATGGATTACATACAGATCGTCTTGCATCAGGTATTGGGATTATAATCCTCCGGATCATATCTCAATATTGTAAGTATTTATATTTGATAACTGTACAGGATCGCTTGTGTTGCTTTAAAAAATGCGATCGAAATCGGGTCAGGTTAAGAAGGACGTGTACCCTACAGTTTTTAGTTATGTTGAGTAATAACGAAAGTTGAACAAATATAATATTATGAATCCAAAAACATATCAATACAAATATGTCGTTTTTTGTAAGTGAATTGAGTAATAAAGTTTGACCTATAGATAAGGCGATGTGACCCCGGCAGTTTATGTTTCAAGTAAAGTAACTTTATTTTGAATAAGTATGTATGTATCCACGAGTTTGTGTACATGTCAGTTGACTTTACAGGATGAATGATTATATATACATATATATTGTTATTTGGATTTTAAACCGAAAATATAAACATAACACTTATTTAACATCGAAAAGGCGAACATCACGTTATATAGAATTATTATATTCGTACGAAACTGTTTAATATTTGTCGGTAATACTGCCTGTTTGAAAAAAGATCCAAAAGTGTTTTGAATGGGACACCCTAATCACCACTACATGTTTATTATACTGGAAGTGTTTACAGATGTTTAATTATATGTTCCACGATTTTGTCATGCAAGTAAACCCGACCAGATATTAAAATGAATTTAAAAAGTGATGATTTTATTTCAGTAAACATAATTTATACACGTCCGTACTCTAACCTTTACTCGCCATAACACAATAAACACTTCTATAATTATCATCATATTCAATGACAGTAAAACTCATTATACGGTGACACTTCACCACTGGTAAAAAAAATCCATCCAATTTACCCACGTCATTGTGTTAAATGTCCCTTCTAATATAGCATGTCACCGTTAACTATACTGTCCTTATTTGCCTTTCTAAAGTGCTTCTTGATCAGTTCTACCCGACAAAATTATACGTAAATCCATTGATATGGCCATTGAAAAGAAGAAATTAGACATAGTTGTTACTGAATAGGGCCACGCCGATGTTTGGAATAGAGATGGTCTTGTGTATTTACTTACACCCATCGTACGGCTTTAGAGCCATCACCTGCTTCGTTGAAAACCAGAGGAAGGAGGGCAAATATAGGTTTGTAAAATCTTCACTTACAAGTAGAATCGTGTTTAAACCCGTACAGGAATGAATGGACATGCTGATTATAAATCGGTCTTTTCGATTTTAAACAAAACTTTGAAAAAAATAATGTAAGTGTTTCAATGTCGTTTGACATGTTTTTAAAGAATGAATGTTCAGTACATAACGTAATTTTGTAAATGTATTTAACTCAAATTTAATTTTGTTGATGTTCAGGATGCTTAATTTTCCTTATCTAATGATGTATGAATATTTCATTGTACGCATTTAAAAATGAATAACCTTGGTGATACCTTTCAAGATTTTTTAATATACACACATGATAATAACGTTGAAATATGGTCAACTTGTACTTCAAATAAATATCTTAACGAAAGTCACAGTGGTGACTATTTGACTATGTCATTGCTGTTTTATTTAAGCTTCGAACTTAAAAAAGATAATGACATAAAACGTTAAAAAATAAAATCTGTCTGCGTCATATACCAACTCACAGCTGCTGGGTAAAGGCCACGCCCACTCGTGGATAGGAATATTAAATTTAGATTATTCCGCTTTTTCTTCTTCATATTCCACGGATTAAAGATCGTGTTTCGCACTAATCCCAAACTTGTTTGTTATGGCTTAAAACTATAACATATTCATGACGAGATTTTAAAACCGAAAACATAGAGACGGTTCAGTACCGAATACTATTACAAAGCCTCAGAGTCTTCGTTGAATAAAAATTAATAAACTTCACGAAGGGAACCGTAGACATTTTGTTTTTTAATTTTGGGTAAACATTCATTATTTTACATCAATTATCGACAGCTTAATTTCTTCAAGGAAAAGCGCTTTCATGAAAGGAATTGACTTAAAATGACCCATTGAAGGCTAACTTAAGCCAACAAAAACGTTCAAGTGTACACAAGGAAAGAAATAGAGTGGAAAATTTATAATGTTAACTCAAAATTAGATGAATGTTGTTCCATATTCATTGTGATATTAACATCAAAGTATTCTAATAGCATCAATTGTGTAAAGCGACAATTGCCTTATAAAGATTCACCATGTGATTTATTTGATGTTATAAACGTAATTATTGGGTGTATGTTGAAAAGGCTGTATTAGATCCCATTCACTTCATAAGAAATAATCGCATATTTGTTGATAAAGCTTTTTGTCATGTGTCAATCATGTAATATATTTTTCATGTATAACATAATTATGTTTGCAGTACATATGATGAGAAATGATTACTGGGGTTTTCTACAATTTTGGATGGAAAATATATATTGTGCTGAATAATCAAACAATTATCTCGAAATCGGTCCATGATGATGGATAAACAGCGCAATGTGCATATTTTCAATTTATCTTTTGCGGGACTCATTTTCCTGGAACGAAATCCATTTCTTAAGCAAGGCTATTATCCAATATCTGCTTAAATTCATCCTTAAAATATTTTATCTGCGACAACTAGGGGTAGACATAATACGCATCTTTGAAATTATTAAAAAACAAAAAAAATTATCTTTCATTAGCAATATCACAATAATAGTAAACAATTCAAATAATGATAATAATTGTCGAAATGAAATAAAAAACCAGGTTTCAGTTTAATGCATTATTTAGTAAGTTCCATAATTCGTTGCGCAGTGTAAAATATTTTACGGTTGAATATTGGTTTCTATCCGCAATTGTCGACGCAAACAAGTTCATCGATTCTACACCAGTGTAAATAATCGAAGACTCTGCGGAACATTTACTCTCAAACACGAAACAGACTAGAAAAGAACGGTTTATGGATAATCAATTTAATAGTGTGGAAATATTACAACACGTATATATTGAAAGAAAAAAAATGGGATAAGTTTTCCTCCTATTCGGTCCACTTTGATATCAGTACGCTGCCTTTGGGAGCGGAATATGTTACCTGGGAGATTCATGACCATTCACCGATCTGCAGGTAAATTGCAGGTGGAAAAGACTATCTCCATGATGTTTACCGCTTAGATGAGAAGAATTTGAGCCAGTCGAGTCCGCCCGTCCGTTCGTTCCTAATTCAGGCCGAGTACAACCAATGACTTTCCGGGTTGTGCCAGTAGTGGGCGTGTCGGAAATCTGTAAATAAAGAGATAATATTAGTGATTTGATTAAACAGAATTATCAAAAGAAAATATTTACTAAGCAATGTTCAAGCACTCACTGAGAAGATGTTGTTTGAGTCCTCACTGTGTTGACAGGGCTCCGCGTACACATACAAGTATATGTGTCAAATCGCCGATTTTTCGTTAGAATTACTAGATAACCTTTGTAAATGCTATCAAATGGGCTTGATATTGTTTGACTAGGTCATAGTGTAAAACAAAGGCAGCCCGGCGCATGCAGTTGCTGTAAACGTGGTTATCTTGACGGGGAAAGGTTATCGGGAGATATATATGCTTAGAAAACAAATCGCCCTCAAAATATTTGAACACTGCGTGTGTACTCACAACAGCGCTAGACAGCTACAGGGCTGTTGTCTCCTTATTGTTACTGATATAGGAAGCTCCGTACAGTGACACATTATCAATCCTTTATTTATATCAACTATTTATAATATTTCATAGTGTAATGAATTATAAATCAGTGACAATGTTAAATTCTATATTCTTTGTAATGTTATAAATTTATGTTATTCGCAATACCAGTGTCGAGGAGACTAATTAATTTATGTTAAATTATTCGGTATTGCAATTGCATGGCATTAAATATTCATACATCTTGTCATTGGAATTATTTTGAAATGTATTGAAACACGAAGAAAACCCCGACATTTTGGTCTTCATCTGTGTTTAGTGTAACTCAGGTAGATTGTTAGTTTGTCGATACAAAAAATGGCAATTCCAAGAAAGCCAAAATTAAGTTCTGAACATATCAAAACATTACAGGGTAATGATATCGTGCACATATTGACATATACATACATCTCAATATTTTCTGAACTGTCAAGTTCCGTTGAGGAAATTCATTTAAGGACATTCTGTGAGATAAGCTTTCTTCTATAAACATTTTGATATTTTTTTCCAGTAATATGTGTTCCATGTTTTATCAGACCCCATAAACACTGAAAGTTATCACGTACTAAAAATATCACAGTTCTGCAACTGGACATGAAAAAGTGAAAGATGCGCATGTATATTGTCCGCGCATGGGGTTTGAAAGATGCATGTGTGCAAGAGCTGATGCATGCACGTGTTAATGTTAAGCGGCTATATAGATGTGAATATTGTCCATAGTAAGGACTTATATATGCATGTTTATATTATTAATATTAAGAGCTGAAACAATGCATACATATTTCACATGGATTAAAAGATGCAGGCGTATCTATTGTATACACGTAATGAATTGACTTATGTGCGTTATATATTTTCCAAATCAAAGATTGAAAGATATGCGTCATATTCTTCACCATACAAATAGAAATATAGGTCTGAAAGCCGTCCATATTTGAGGCTGAAAGACGCGCTTGTAAATCGTTTCGTCAAATAGGTAGATATGAGCCTAGTTTTAAGTGCCATGTGTAAATGCTTGGTCTCAAAATCAGTAGTATTGTCTGGAAAACAAGCTTAAGACTATACGAATTCTAGAAGACGGGTCTAGATACAGCTTCCAGATAGAAGCATACAACCATGTCTTGTAATCTTGTGTGAACTTAAAGGATTTTTTAAAACATTATTCGAACCCGATGATATATGACAGCTCAAAAGGGTTCTTGCAATATTTACACGCTTTTAACAATGACACTGTGTGACGTACACTAACGTTTTATTGTAAATTAGCTTGCATTTATATTGTTGGGTCAGTTACAAAAGATAATCCGTTTTCAATATATAGCATTTGCCTTGTTTCGCAATGACTTTGGCGCATGCCGGTTGATACAAATTGACCACATCATGCAATACCTCACCTTAGCAAGGTACATAAATAATTTATCATATTCGACATATTTCCCATGACGTTAAGGTCTCCGAGTACACGAAGCGTCCTCCTACGCTATCCTACCTCCAAACACAGGAGAGCGACACAGGAAGGCGAACATGTCAAATTAATCTCCTACAAAGGAGAGCGGGGAACGTAGGGGAGGATCTCTTGCCTCACCCGGGCTATTGTCTTGCGAGTGTAAACAACCAAAACAAGAAAATAAACATATGTACACTAGCAACACGTTTGAAAAGCGGTGTGAAATGTGCCTTCAACACTTATTCGGCCAAGATAGCGCCTCCTCTACGGTCAAAACCGAGTGCGACTCTCGAAGCAACGAACAAACGTGACGATGCGAGCTTTAGAACTTCCCGCGAGAACTCTCAGCAGCGCTCTCAAACCCCGCACCGAAAGTCACACACTCTGCTTGATCGGAAGAAAATCTCTAAATAACCCGTTTGCACCCTGAACTAAATGTCATGTGCACTTGCTGTACTGGAGGGGGATCTTTGGACTTTGGGGCAAAGCTATATCTCTCGATTGTAAGGATAATACGGTCCTCAGTTTCAGTCGCAACATAGATAACCATTATGCAACTCACTGTTACGAACTCCGTATTACGACGTGGGTTATCGGACGGGTACGCTGGCAAACTGTGATTACATTGTTTTGCGACTATCGCCAAGATACCCGGCTCAGTAATTCCGATTATAATGCTTTAACGTGAACCATACCCAAAGATTAAAATCACTCAAGCCATTAAAGGTTCAGCGTAATGAAACTGGCCAAATACGTTTGGAAATAAATCGGGGTTTATTGTGTACCCGGTGACATGAAATTATTAATATTCCAAAGAGGACTTGCAATATGTAACCGCTATCTTTATAGTGTAATAAAATCAAAGAAGTCTGTAAATCAAAGAAAGTTATAATTGACTCATGAGTTTGTTGATTGTAGCATACCTAAATTTGTGTAAACATCAATGTTCACGTGTACTGATTTTCCAATCCTTGGATCGAGTATTTACAATGAATGTGGAATTTGTACTCGGCTACCCCGAGCGTTGACATAAATACATGCAGTAGTACTATACAGCCCCTGTGTTCTGTATACATGGACTTTATGACTGGACTTTATGACTTGACCACATGTGCCTTAACTTGAATCTGACACCAGTCATTTATTTAGTTTCTCAAAATCTCAAACACAACCACGAACAAATATTTTCAATTTTAAACTCACTTCAGCGGTAATTAAAAATCATAACAGGTTATACCAAGAAACGAAATTAAATGTTTGAAATTAACAGACACATGTGAAATACACACGTGTGCATTTCCTGAAATGAACAAGTAGGCCGTATTACGTATGCAAACAAGAGAGTAAATACCACACTTATGCTATAGGCATTTTGTACAGACAGGCAAGTAATCTTTGATCAATATTGATAGTGTGGTTTTAGGTCAACGAAGCTTGTCAAGGTTTCCAAATAATAAATATACAGAGGTTATCAAGGTCAGCTCAAGCCCACTCCTCCGATTGCGCCTTGTATTTCACGATGATAATCAGAACAAACACTGACCGCGAATTTTCACCAGTATCGAAATGTGTGTATTCACCCATGGGAAAATGTACATTGCTATTCAAGGCTGGCGTGGATTATTATTTACATAAAATGAGCGAATATTTACATGTTACACAAATTGTTTGTTCGCCTGGTGTATATACTGTGTGTTCGTGGAAACCTACATCAGCGAGCCACGTGGCTGACCAGATCCACTAGAGAGTCTCAGAGTACACGTTAACACATGCTCCATTTCAAATGAATCTAGATTTGATTGTCATCGATACTGTTTTGATTGATATTTACATTTCATAAAAGTTCAGTTGCATTGGTATAACCACAGAGCGATAGAGCACGCAAGTTAAACATTTTGTAAATCTAAAAGTTGCTGATTCTATTTGTTTGTATTATTTGATATTTGTTTTGAATGACTAGAAAAATTAACCGAAGACAACACCAGAACGAAAAGATGCGGTGTAACACTAATTATCATTAGTCTAAAATTAAACGCCAATAGAGTTTACAGTGGCAAAGTGTAAAATATTATTCTCAAACACCTGATAATGTCATTACAGATTTTAGTGATCAGTTTTAAAACAGTAATTTCCATCGCTATGTGGCTAATATATAGCCAATGGGCTTCCTTGGACAGTTAATGCAACAGTGTTCATAAAGGGTAAAATAATATTCACAAACACCTTTCGTCATCCATGATGTTTTGTGATCCATTTGTAAACACAATTTCGCTTATATGAAGCCGATAAACAACATAACGGGAGTTCGATGGAAATCTAAATTTCAAACTAACATAGCTGTGTAAATTAACTTTAGCAAACACCGGGTGTCATCACTATGTTTTAGTCATCCGTTCAAAAAACGTTTAACGGGTGTTTTGCACTCTACTTCCAGCACAACCTGGCAATACGTTACCGTTCTATGGAAGGATTGAAATGATGGTAGGTAGATCACTTTAATCCACAGAATATTATCATAGCTAGACTTATGGCCGTGTCTGGTATTTCTAACACCTTATAGGACTTCTACAAATGAAACCTATCTGGAGTTAGTAAGTAATGTACATATTTGAAATTGTAGACTTAAGTAATTAAACATTGACATGTAAGACAACGATTAAATCAATACTGGGAAACACAATACTGTGGTGAAGCCACACTGTTGGTATCTGTTTCCCAAAATAGATCTAATTCCATTTGGAGTTCCACATAATCAAATTTATTCAAAAGCATTATTCCCGTGTTCGTGTTACTGCGTAGATGGACAGCGTTGAGGGAAACGAACAAGGGGGAGACAACTCCCGTGACGGTACATTGGCAGCTCGAGGTTCAAACACTGGTTGGGGGATAATTCATTGTCCCCCGAGAACATAAATACAGATATATTTAGAAAATTAATAATATAAGCATGACGCCACGATTGATTCGTCCTTCATGACCCCAAACTGCGCGGTTTAACCATGGCTTCCTGCTTCATGGGCTAAGACTACCTTGTGGTATTTTAGTCGTGTGTTTTTTCAACCCTCGCGGTAAATATGAATCGATGCGACGTGACAGTGATATAGATTAAATTGGCA